AAGTGCGAAAATGGCTGAGATTCCGAAGCTGACAGATGAAGCGCCGAAGTTTTCCAATACAGTTCTGAATGTGTTTCGACCACCGAAGGTTATTATCGATAGTAACATTCAGATATTTGACTGAGGACACTCTAGACAAAAGGTTACAATTAAGGGTTACAGAGTCTGACTGGAATGTAGATCGGGAAGAACTAAAAATGCTGTCTAAGCTCTTGGTTGTGCTAAGATTAAGGCCAGCCTAGTTTGAAAACTGTTCGATTCGGGACAGATTTTCAGTGAAGGAGGAAAATTCCAAATAAGAAGAAACGGTGACATAAAACGACAGTTTCAGCATACTTCGGGATATGGGCAGGATGTGGAACTGAAAGATCATTAATGAAAGCAAAGAAAAGATGCGAAGCCGGGACAGCACCTTGAAGCACACCAGAATTATTGATTAGAGGACTTGAGGTATTCCTGCCCAGCTTTCGGTGAAGTAATCAGAAAGCCACGAAAGCCAGTTTACAAAGGAGGGATGACCGGTACAGAGAGTCAAAAGCAGACAATTAATCAAGAAAAACACAACGAACCGATTTGGCTAACTGATCAACGGATAACTTATAAAATGGACCAGATTAGACACATCATCCAAAGTGGATCTGTTGGGTTTATACGCGAACTGAATAGGATCATGGGGAATGATGAGAAGTGACTAAGTGACTCAGGATGGCTTCCTCAGTCAACTTCAGAACTACAGTCGTTAATGCGATGGGACAAAAGAGTTTTACTAGAACGGTTGAGGATGAGTTTTTGGAACAGGTATCGTGGTCACTGGTCACCAGGACTCAGAGATTATCTGTGAAGAAAGAGAGTCGTTGATGAGGGATGTAATCATGCTAGTTAGAAGGGCTGCTCCAAACTTGAGAAACGCTGGAGAAAGACCATCAGGGCCCGCAGATAACAACGGTTTGAAGGAACGTGTTTCACCTGAAAATCTCATCACTGGAGGAAGAGAACAGATCGGAATCAGAAACCTTATATGGGAAAGAGGGTACCTGATTATCGGTAGACGGATGAAGAAATGCAGCGTTGAAGCTATTTACATCAAAATCACTGTTCACGTTTTTCCTTTTTTTGTCGGCAGATAAGACGAATTACTTGTCATATGAGCCTTGTGTTTTTCGTTTTGCAGGATTTGGGAAGCAAACGTCTTGTTTACACGTCTTATCTCAGCCTTCAATAGGTAGCAATAGTACCTTAATAGCAGACGAATGAGGCGATCTATAGGTTCGTTCCTTTTACCTTCATAGTGAGTTCAATCGAGGAGATGCAATTTTGCAATTTTGCCGCTGCGAACAAACAGCATTTTCATGGGACAGCAAAATTGGAAGATCGATTTCATCGTTCCGGTGAAAAGACTGTCATAGTCAAGAAGTGATGAACAAGAGGCAAACCAAGATTGAGAAGAGAAATACGGGTTGGTAATACGTTACGCTGATGAAACCTTATCTGGTTTGATCGTATGGACGTTGGATATGCAGGGCTTAAGTATATCTTTGGTCTTAGGAGGAGAACATAATGATCACTGGTAGCGATTGGGGCCATTACTTTGAGAGAAAACAAAGCGGGCTGGTTTGTAATTACCCTATCAAGTATAGAGCTGTCTCTGGCAGGAGAGTATGATCAATCGAATATGACAAAAGAAAGCAGACGAGAGTTGGTGTGGGTCGGTAACATGTTTGACATCGAGATAACAATAAAATCCAGTGAGAAGACGAACACTCCATACGCAGTGCAGCCAATCGAAGGGTGCGCCCTCAACCACACAGTCGGTAACACTCCTCTGTGCAACGTTCATCGGTCCAAGTGATGGAAAACAAGATTGGTGTATTTACAAACCCAATCAAAATTGAATTTGTGTTTGAGAGCATTCGGTTCGCGATGAAATCGCCTCGGCAAAAGATGCTTTTAGTAGCCTCCACTTTTAAATTTGGACTATTTACTTTCCAGTAATTCTCGCTGTTTCGAAGGCCTGGACATTATCTTTTGTAATTTTTCCAATTATTCTACGTTCAGAATTAAATCCGCGCTTCTATTCCATCCTATATGAAATGTTTGCACGATAGATTTGTATCCTGTTAAACTAGGTAAACAAGCGCGTGTAGATTAAGCAGTACGTTTATTGTAGTTGGTACACATGTAGCGGGTCCGTAGGCTGATGAGCAAACTAAAGCGGAAAACACGTGAGCACGTAGGCAAGCAGGTCGNACGATATCCGAATGCGGTCAAGCCAACATTCAAACAGTCAACGAACCAATCAGCGCCGACAGCTCAATACTAACATCTGATTAGATGGAACTGATCGATATTCTCCGAGTTAGTTCGCGTGGCGTGAATGTGTGTCATCTGTTAATCAGTCAATCAATCAATCCGACCAGAGGCATGTGCGTCACTTTTAGGCCGTAGATTGTCGTAGTTGGGAGATCAAGTGGCATGATTCTCTAGTTGCGCAAATTCAGGCGTGATTAAATAAATTTTATTCATACTTTTCCAGGGCAATCCAAGGCGCAAAAATGGCAAACCATTAAGCTGGCCGTGATGTATGTTTCGTAACGCCATCTCCACCCGATCCCCGTTAAAATATGAAGGAATCGATAATCATTTATTTTATTTGCGAACATAAAAAATTCAGGTTTGCACTTTGGTTCTTATGGAGAAAATCCTCAATGTGTTTGCCAATCGTCAAAAGGGATACATACGTGTTTACCAACTCACCTGAGTCTCATCACGCCTCACTCAAATGAGTCCTTCATGTGCACACAAAAGCATGACGCGCATGCCTCACTGAACACGCGTGGTCTATGTTGTGTTGTTAGTGGCATTTTTGTGATAAGATTGTTCGTCTTTCTGTAGCTATGCATAAAACATGCTCACATGGCTGTTCATTGCGTTTGGTGCTGGTGACAAGGCTGTGTTCCAGTCGCCGTGTTCACAGTGCAGTCGTCCTTGAGTTGATGCGCGGGATCATCAGAATGTGTACTCCAATAGCGTCTGACCGCAAATGAGACTCGGTTTATTACACTGTTTGTCACGCTGACATGAAGCCAAAAACTCCAAAACTCTGGGGGAACAAATGTGTGACCGTCTAGTGGCAGGTATCAAAAACTTGACTGTGCAANCAAAAACTTTACTGTGCAACGGAAATTGCTGATAAACAAGGACATGACGTTCGCAGAGGCATGCTCTGTGAACAATATGATGATCTGACACAGAAAACTTCCAGAGAATCGGTCACCCCATTCCAACGGTATAACCAGAAATCAGTTCAATATCCAGTGACCAAAAATGCCTCGAAGCCACAGAGCGATAATTCTTGCACCGACAAACCAACCAACCTATCCTGTATCGTGGATCTTAACTTCTACTCTCCACGTGTCGGATCCACAATGCCACACTCTATGGGTACGAGAAAACTGGCCCTATTCGGCTAGTTTGCAAAGAGCTCCGCTCTAATCTAACACTGGCCGAGCAAGGCACATGACGAACCCAAAGCTAGTGTGTCCAATTCATACAAAGACTGACTTACCGACTCCTCAAGAGAGCAGCCAATAGCTGAAAATTTACACTGACGGTAACAAGAATTCGGGTTCTGCAACTAAATCGATCATAAGAAGGTTGGTAGAAAGTCAACTGTTATGTTTGTCCTCTTTGGTGGTAATGTATTCGTTTAAGTCATTTTGCTACGCATCTGACATAGTAAGTATGGAAGAACATTATCTGAGTTGGCTTTCTCAGGTGGGAATAGGTGGAAACCGGATCGAGTTTTGTTCTCTGGTCGATAATGATCACTAGATTGACGAACGGAATGCCTTCGAGGTTTTAACTTATGTTTCTTTTTCCCAATCGATTCACGGCAACCTAAAACAATCGTTAACTGAGTAATAACCTCCGATAGACAAGTACGAAATCACTTAGTGGTGTGAATGCGTCAGCTGTTTCGGTTGGAATTCACGAGGAGAACAGTTCAGGTTGTATGTTGATGATATCGTACCACCGCGTAGTAATTGTAGTAATAGTAGTAGTTGTAGTACGCAATGAACGCGAAGTACGAATCACGAATTAACAATCACGGACAACACGTAAGCATTGGATCACACTGGCACTTGCACAACAGTATCCCACGTTACCGAAACGCGAGGGAAAGACCACAGGAGTGGTGGTTCGTTTATTAAAAGAAGTTAAGGGGATTAAATAATATGTACAAAACAAGCTAATTGGTCATCCAAGCCTCGCCAATCGTGTTCTAGCATTTCGATTGTTGTTCAGCTTCTGTCCGGGCCGCACGATTTCTGATTGGTTGGTACAATCGACCTATGGGATGTAGTCCAGAAGCTGCGGCGCGCACGTGCTTTGCTGACGTCACCCATGAAGTTCGATTGTTCGCAGTTGTCCGAAAACTGTAACGTGTCGTTCCGTGGTATATGTCATCTCGCAGGCTGGGATCACCACACACCGACTGAAGGGAACGGTCAACAAACAAATCAACTAGTTATAAGCAATCGGCTAGACATCTCTCTCTACTGTTCGATCATTAAAAAAACATGAAGTCGTAGTTTATTCTCCACCGTTTCTTTTCTATTTTGCAATGAATTTCCTTCAGAGAAAACTGCTTTTCACTAATCGATTGCCAAAAAATTAAACAGAATAGAAGTTTTTCAGCCATCATGATATGCATATGCTTTTGTTTTGCTGGTCAATAATTGTCAGTCAAAATTTGACCGTTATGACATTCCGCTCCCCATCTCTTTTTCTACTGTTTTTTAGCATAGAAAACAATGACCAGATCTTCTCCATCCCCCCTGGATACAATGCTGACGGAGTTTAAGTCCTCCCGGATCATGATGCACCAGTCGATGTGTTTGATTGGTTTGTTGTATGAACTCTCCGTGTCAGTCCTATTGGTAGGATACGACCCGCCCCCTCCCGGCATCTTTATCTCTTCATCTCGTCTATCGTTACAGCTCGCGGGAATCGGTCTGCTGGTGGTGTCTGTCACGTTGACAGATGTCCTGTACAAGTATACCGATCCGTTCGATACGGGACTGGGTCCGATCGCGGTCGCAGTGGGAATTCTCGGCTGCTTCATTCTTGCCGCTGCGGTGTTTGGAGCGGCGGCGATGTTCACGGATAGCATACTGCTGCTACACATAGTATGTGAGCACCGTTACACATCACATTCACCCTCGTTTATAGTCCGAAATTCTGATTGGAATTCTTATGGTTGGACAACTGACTTGTGCAGTCACCGGCTTCCTGATCTTGCCCAGAGTGAGCACTAAACTGTTTGGGAGAAGTGCTAACGTTTTCTGCGCGCTCTTTTTCAGATTAAACGAACCGCAACAAACGTTCTGTTGAAGTATTTCTCCATGATGTCACAAAATGCATATTATAAATATCTGGTGGAACGTTTAGAAAGTGATGTAAGTTTGACTCGTTCACAGATGGGGGAGTGAAATTTAATTGGCTGTTTAGATGAAATGTTGCGGGATACGCGGTTATTTGGATTACGAACGACAACCGATTCCGGAATCCTGTTACAACGATCACCATGTTCATTTAGACGTGAGTGACTTTAATTTGCACAAAATGAAAAATTTATATGATATTGGCATCATTTTCCTTTTGTAACACACACGACTACCTGTTTGCCCTTTCATTATCCCCTCCATGCAGCAAATACTTCACGTGTAAGACCACAGATGTATCATGATCGTTTTTGTTGTTGTTGTTGTGGTTGTGGTTGTTGTCATCGTCCTCGTTGTTTGCTTTTGCTGGTGTTGTTATCATTGTCGAAAGGAACTAATATGCAAACCGTACCATGGGAGATTCTCTGCACACATGAAGTCCACATCCAATGAGTTTTATTTACCGCTTGGTGCCAATGCCCTACTTGTTGTAAGCTCAAGGCACATTCAACAGTTTCCCCGACCATAAATATGCAGCTATACAGTGTTATGTTTTGGACTTTTATGTTGTTTCGTTCCAAAATTGGACCTAACAACTACTGGTAAAACTAACGAGACACACTCCGAAAGAATGCAAATATAAGGGATTTATTCATCTCAAAATCGACGATTTCAAAGGAGGGGGGACATAAACTTGACATTCCACATTCTGTATCAACCTAAACAACCTTGCCGTTCTCTGTTGACCTCATCTCAAAATAATTCTCTCAGAGGACATCCATTGAACATGTGCATCCAGAACCGTCACCTAGATTGCCGGCATCGCTCGTTTGCAGGCGGAGTGTGCGGTGTATGGAATTCTCTTACATCCCACGTTAAGTGTGCTCGTGTAGTTGAATTATCCAAATAGCGGCGTGATTAAGCATTGGAACAGTGAACATTTCAAGATCTGTGTGAGTGATCATGCATCTCATTAGTATTAATTTCCTACTTACAAATTTGTTCGAAATATTCTGTGAAAAATCCTATCGGACGTGATACGCGTCAGCCTTGTTGAATCGCCCATAATAAAGCTTCGTCTATGACGATAATACTACTACTGCTATTGATACTACTATTCCTACTACAATTACCACTACTACTACTACTACTACTACTACTACTACTACTACTACTACTACTACTACTACTACTGTTGAGAGATACTAACTATCCGTATGTAGTACGCAAAAAGATGCGATCATGGGTTTCTTTCAACGACAGAAAATAAACGAGACTTGTGGGAGCAAACTTTTGCTGTTCGGTCTAATGAATACAAGAATGTGCATCTGATAGTGAACCGTTCCATCAACCATCTTGTGTGTGTGCTACGGTACCAAAATTGTAGCGTCTTTGTAGCTCATTAGCTCATTTATAGCACGCTTTTAGCCGGCTACAGTGTGCTACATTTTTGAATTGCTTTTTGAATTCTCTGTTCTCCAATCCCTTATAAACCTCATATTAGAATTACTATCTCGCAATGGGCTTAAGCCCAAGGTTTTTAATGATTACAACGCACTTTTTTGACTAATTGAATAAATCTCTTTTATCTTCCATCAACCTTACTGTACCATGTTCATGCTGAATAGAAGTTAACTTTAAACAGGCTTTTACTATGATCGGATACTTTAATGCAGATAATTGGGCGTATAATAGAAAACCATTTATTTGCTGATATATTTTATAAAAGTAAAACCTATATTAGATTTGCTGTGTGTTACTTTTCTGTTACAATTTTCTGACCGCAAATCTATCCGTCGTATTTCTGAACCCCATGCGTATTTCACGTTCAAAACAATTCATTGAAACATCGATAAATTTGGTATTCATCCGAATGGTATCTGGTGAAGTAATGAATATTTTATTATAACTACTTTCCAATAACACATTTAATAAAAATCGACCAGAAGCCTGTATTTTCCCTTATTTTCCGATTTAATTCATCAGTACAATAATCGAATCATGCAGTAACGTAGAGATGGCACGTTACACTCTATTTGCCACGTCTTCCCCACCCATTTGCATCAATTGTTTCATCTAAGCACTCAATAAATAGCAAAAGTTGAACCCACAAATTTTTCATGTGCATTGTCATCTTACAAATTTCATTTCAATGCTTTCACTTGCTCCATGTTGAATTTACATTGAAGGAAATGGGTTGCATCCATAAAAACGTATTGCGAATGATACACATGCTTCTCAATGAATTTACCCATAGATATTGGACAACTTTTTCTGTTTTCACAAGGGTCTGCCTCGTCACAAACAGGACAGTTAACTGGTTGAACCCGTTGTTGTGATAAAATGTCAAGCGAGATAGTAATGACATTTTAAGAAGCTCTAAGTCCTTAAGTGCTGAATAAAATGATATCTTTTGTAGGATTACTGAAATCATTTTCAGAAAAAATTGATAATGCAACCAAAACCAATGATAATGAAATAAATGTACCACAAAATGTAACTTACTACCCGAAGGAAGTTGAGAAATTCTGCACATTCTCAGCTAACGACAACCTAGCACAAGATAAGAGTCACTCAAACCATCATTCTCCGCCTTAAATTAAAACACTAATCAGGGACGTTTGACGCCAAACATACAAGCAATTTGACTGATTTAATAATGAAAATGACTTTTCAAACCAAAAAATAAATATGATGAATAATTTTTAGAGGTAAATTGCTGTTTATTAATAAATGTAGCCGACGTAGCTCATAAGTAGCTCTTTTGAGCCGATCGATGCGCTACGTTGTGCTACCTGGGGCACTCCACTACACATTCGAACACCTCAACAGGTAGCGTATGAAATTCCCCCGGATAGGGACACTGAATGAACTTTTCTTCCGAGTATGGGAAATGGAGCCGTGGAAACATAAATTGTGTTGGGGAAGGGGAGGGGAGATTAAAACGATTAGTCAATCAATCAATAAAAAGCGGATTGCAAATGGATCCCCGAGTAAACACACATATACGGATTACAGTTTGCTACGACACCAAAGCAGAGGACAGGTTGAAACAAGAAGCCATTCACAAGTCGTGCAGTCCAGACAGATGCTGCATGACGTCAAGAATACAAGCACGTGATTACTGGATACCCGGATAACCAATAAACTTCCTTGGTACGGGTTATTTTACCCCCTTGGTTGCTTACAATAAAGCAACTGCTACTTTTGTGGCCGTTTTCTTGCGTCTCGGCTACGTAGGGTACCCAGCCTGAAAGCGGTAGTGTAATTCAGCGTTTCCAGTGGGTTCATGCTTTGTGATTCACTATTCATGATTTGTAATTGGCAATTCGTGATCTGTGGCGGCTTAAAATACGATATTCAGACTCCAAAAAGCTATCCATTTTCAGCACAGGACCGTTATACGGAAGCTTTGCCCAGTGATCTGTCAATCCACTCATGAAGTTGTGCATTTCGTCGGTTTTGCGTTGATCGATTTTACGAAAAACTTGAAAAATGACTGGGGCAGAGCTACCTCTCAGTAGTAGAAGCAGTAGTAGCAGCAATAGTAGTAGTAGTAGTAGTAGTAGTAGTAGTAGTAGTAGTAGTAGTAGTAGTAGTAGTAGTAGTAGTAGTAGTAG